ACCTCTCGCAGAACGAGTTCAGTGGTCTGGATCAACTGCTGGACATAGCAGGCTCACTCCCCACCTCTCGCAGAACGAGTTCAGTGGTTTGGATCAACTGCTGGGGGTAAAGGGTTCGGCTTATCTTTGTGAGACTACGTCTGCGAAGTGGAAGCTGAAGCTTCTCCAATGTCGGTGGTGATCTGTCGACAGAACCATCCGATATATTCTGCAAGCAGTCTCATATGCTCGGAAACCTTAGTGTTAAAGGGGCCGGTCTCATTCATTGTCAGAAAAGGCCTGCCTTTGAACGTCGGGTCTGTGAGGTATTGGACATAGGATCGGTCATATGATGCCCAGGTGAGGTAGATCTCATGTCGATCTTGGGAGACAAGAAGGCGTCTTAATGACATAGAGTATTAGCACCCAGCCAGCAATGCCCAATGAAAGACAAACTTGCCGGTTATCCTTAAGGGGCACTTCGCGGCCGTCATTCGCATCCCTGAATATCCAAGCGACCATTTCGGCGGATTCTTGCATGTAGATTCGGGAGCCTTCGCCGCGTCTTTTTCGGGAATGAGCCTTGGTTTCCACAATTGCGAAGGCTTCGTTGTTGGCCTTGAGCCCGTACAGATAACCATCTGTGTGGGCCTCCATGCTGGCTAGAGCGAACTCGACCTTGAACGGGAGACGTCGTATACCCCAGTGACACTTGACTTCGGGGAGATTGACGGTTACCGCGTCGAGAAATGTTATCAGCGCCTGATTGACATATTGCTCGTCGGTAGTTCGTTCAAATATCTTCCCCTCCTGCTCGGCCGCTGGTGTCCCGTGTGAGTCAGTTGACGCTGAGCTGCTTTCGGTGGGCGCTCGGCTCGACCCCGGCTCAGCCGCTGGTGTTTGACTCTGACTTGGGTCGCTTTGCTTCGAGCTGCTTTCGACGGGCGGTTGGCTCCCCCGGGATCCATCGGACGATGTTGCCGGGCCGGGCGTTGGAGTTGGGCTCATCCTAATGTTGGTCGACATTGGGTCTGTTGATCCCTTTGTTGGAATCTGATTGTCGACTTGCATTTGATACTTTCTGACGAGCTGAAATACTCCCGTCACGTCCGCAGGGCCCCAGTTCCTTGTGATCCCCGTCAGGTAGGTTTCGAAGGACTCGTTGAACGCTCGGTTCTGTTTGAAGATCTTCGCCATTTCTTGGCTATCCTCCCTTTCCTTCTTACCATAGAAATGTTTCGGCTCTTTGCGATCAGGCCAAATAACGCGGAATGTAAGGAATTGCTGGGGTGTGACCAAGGACCCAGACTTCATCACCCGAATGGTATTGACTGTCATGTCGCTTGCTCCGTGCCTAGCGGCTAATTTGCGCCATGCAGTTCTGTTTCTGGGGATGAGGATGCTCTTTGATTCAGACATGATCGTTTCTAGGAAAGCGAATCTCAATGTTCTTCTCGAAAAGAAAAAGTACTTGTATTCTATTATAGGAACGTATCGTATGCTGCTGAATTGCGAGGGCATGGAGAGAATCAAGGCCAGCGACATTCGACGGCGATGAAAAGCTCTCCATCACACGAGTCTCCAGGAAACTGCTAACTGAAGGAAGGTGCGTAGCTACATACATGTTGCCGAATAGAGGTCTACCTTCCATTCCGGGAATCCTAGGGCAAAGCAAGAAGAAAGAAACACCAGACTGGCAAGCAACATGGGCAGGAGCAATTCGATAGACCAGTGAAGCAGGAGTAAGTCCAAAGACCTCTCTTCCGTTCCACCTTACCTGATACAGAGAGTATTTGAGGTAAGCCCAATCGGCATGCTAGCTAGGTAACGCACAAACAGTGACGTCGGCGCTGTTTCTTTATTTTCGAAACTCATGAGAGGGGAGTACTGCAACACCAACTTTTCCCCATCGTGATGAGCTTGAATAATCCTCGCATGTTTTGGACACATAAAGGATACGATCAACATCTGTCTGTACAATTAGAAGAGCCCGGGATCAGTAAAGAAGAGGCGTAGACTCACGGGACACATTGCGTGGTGTCGAAATTCTCGGAGACTATACCACTGACACATATTACCAACGAGCGCACAGACTTCACCATGGGTGAGGCTCGTGTCATTCCCACAATATCGAACTTCGAGTTGGATAATTACGTGGGGCGTTCCACCGGATTTGTCGAGGTAGTCATATGTGAAACAGAGGCCGTCCCCGACCTTGCCGACCCAATCCGCATGTCCACCATCAACAAATAAGATCACATCTGGTAACCGATTCTCACAAGACCGCAGTGGTGTGAGATCGTCCAAACCTGCTAGCTCGTGGGGGGCATAAATTCCATGGCGAGGGGCGTCCACACAGCTCTCAATGTGATCACAGAGATCTTCTAACTTTCCGAGCCAATCATCCTCATCTTCCTCCGAGTCTTCGGTTGGGTACTCACCACAGAAGACTGGACCGCCACGGTCACGCTCAAGATCAGATACATATTCCTCCTCAATTAACGGATGGTCCAAAAACACCGATGTGGGCTGGGGCAGGAAAAAGCATGGCTCAAATTGTAAAAGCTCCGTATCTGGTGCTAATTCAACCCTGACTGCTTTCAAACTCAGCTCACAGAGCTCGTCAATCCCAAAGTTTGTCCTAGATTTGACGGAGCTGAGGACTTGATGGAGCTGCTGAAGCTGGTTGATAACGGCGGACCGTTTCGCCTTCAGGGCCTCTTTACTCATATCACGACGAGTCATGGCATGAGGGAACCACGAGACAGCTTTTAACAGAGGAAGGAATTGAATTATGAACGTGAGATGTAGGTAGGGAGCTCATGAATATATACTTCCACCTATACGTGAGTCAAAATGATGTCAGCTGAGGCATGTATATTACAATCCACTGATCTCACTTTTACCACTTTTGAGCTCATACACCTTAAAGTTTCAAGATCTCAAGGATCGCAGACTTTGAGACTACGGTTGCATGGCTACGTAGATGCCGAAAGTATTGCAGCGACCTGTTCTCTACACTTAACTAAATGGGTTGCTCCTATCTGGGTTGCTCAAACGTCGTCATTTATTTTGTTAGAGTAGAAGAGCGTTGCTTCATAAGGTAAGCAAGTATACCTGAAACGGAGAGCATTGTTGCCTGTTTGTTACGTGTATGCACAACTTCCTGTGCTTAAGTGATTAATGGAAGCTTCTGTAGCTCTCACAGTTACCCTATCTTCACTCATCCCTTCTACTGTTTACTTTTCATACACACCAGCAATTGCAATAGTAACATGTGTTTCTTAAAACAGCCACCTTTAGGTGCCTTTTTGGATGCTACCTACAAGGTAAGAACACAGCATTGAGCAAAATGACCATGCTCACTCCAGGCTAAAGCCCAGCCACATTGCTGCGTGGTACCTATTGGTGCATGTCGTGCTTAAGAACCAGCGGAAAATTGGGATTCAAATGACAGCGTCCTGATCATCAGGTGGTACGCTACCCCAAACTGACTGCCACCATGCATATTGAATTTGAAGTGACGGAAGCTCTTCTAGATCTGTTCGATACCTTTGCGAATATAGAGCAGACCCACTGATCCCACCATGGAATAACAGGCAACAGGAAGTCTCAGAAGGTACATTGATTTGTCGTACTGGGGACCTTCTGAGACCTCTTTGCTAATGCTTAGTTGACGGCAGTAGGACGTTCGGAATTGGGCCACATCCGATACCTCCATTCCGGCGCTGCGGCGCATCCGTGCATGAATGGGCGGACTACCGGCCAGCGATGTCCGGAAAGTAGTGCCAACAAGCAAAGGAGGATGGATTGGGGTTTCCGAAATGGTATGTCAGTCGATGGTGAGACCTTGCTAGTGAGAAACAGCTTTGTGCAGCATCCCACCCTCCCCCTTCCTTACTGCCTAGACCCTAGATCCATCATCGACCTCTGTTCTTAGTACTTACTGAGTATAAACCCTAACCAGCAGATAGTATGCTGAATCTTTTACTTCCTATTAATGCATGCAGATAAGCATACTAATAATAACAGATATCCACCCATGTCTAAGTTGCTCCTATCAGACCGGTTACCCGGCTAATCATTATCTCTTATAACCTCTGTCAACCAGGGTGGGACATGCTACTACCACTATTACCTCTTGACCCGCCCCTGGCAGCACTACAACACCCGCCCTGGTGATTTCTGTCGGAGGAGCTCATGTTTGGCACTACGGCGGCGGCAGCGCCACGGTTGCCATCCAGATTCCCACGGCTGTGGTCGAGACACCGACGGTTGCGATCCAGGTGCGCGACAAGCCAAAACGCAGATGCAGGAAGAGACCCAACAAGGCAGCAAGGAGGGCTCGAAAGGCTGTAATCCAATTACCACACTGGCGATTGCTGGCCCTTCTGAGGGGAATGCTGTTGAATATCTGCTGCACTATCAATTTACTAGATAGGAATGGTTGTCTTGACACCTTTTTAGCTCAGTGGTTTGACCTTTTAAGTGCCCTCAATAAATGCGGCCTGCGCCTTGCTGTTATATAGTGTAAACAAACCCCTTCCCACCAACTACTCCGCTCCCGCTGCTCCCTCTCAGGCGCCATCCCCCGGCCCGCCAAAAACAACCAAGAACAACGAGGTGGGATAAGGCCAAAAGAAGGCGAACATGGCGAACATGGCGAAGAAGGAAGAGACAAGCTTGAATCCAAATGTGGTTAATAACTACATCTTTAATGGTGATGCTCTGCAGGCGCTGCTAGCCTGCCACATCCTACGGCGGACTATTTGTACAAAAAGGACTTTTGGATTTTTTTTACTGTTTACTGCATGTATTACCTATTGCCACTACCTCCACACAACATTAAAAGTTATATCAATATCGAATTCTCATATAGTAGGGATATCAAATCGAATCGAATAGTATCAATATTGAATTGAATTCTCATATAGTAGGGATATCGAATCGTAGTATCAATATCGAATTCTTATATAGTAAGGATATCGAATTGAATAGTATCAATATTAAATCGAATAGTATCAATATCGAATTCTCATATAGTAGGGATATCGATTGAATAGTATTAATATCAAATTCTCATATAGTAGGGATATCGATCGAATAGTATCAATATCGAATTCTCATATAGTAAGGATATTGATCGAATAGTATCAATATCGAATTCTCATATAGTAAGGATATCGATCGAATAGTATCAATATCGAATTCTCATATAGTAGGGATATCGAATTTGAATAGTATCAATATTGAATCAAATTCTCATATAGTAAGGATATCGATCGAATAGTATCAATATCGAATTCTCATATAGTAGGGATATCGATCGAATAGTATTAATGTTGAATCCTCATATAGTAAGGATATCGAATCGAATAGTATTAATATTGAATTCTTATATAGTAGGGATATTGAATTGAATAGTATCAATATCAAATTCTTATATAGTAGGAATATTAAATCCTTATATACTAAGGTAGTGCCCCTATGTACAGAGTAGTTAGAATTTATATATTTAAGACTTAGGGTACACCCTACTACTTATACTACATATTTAGAATATATATAAGTATAGTGGTATTTAATATCCTACTACTATACCTCTATAAGAATTATATATTACTACTATTTGATTCGATATCCTTACTATATGAGAATTTGATATTCATACTATTCGATTGATATCCCTACTATATGAGAATTCGATATTGATACTATTCGATTCAATATTGATACTATTCGATTCGATATCCTTACTATATAAGAATTCGATATTGATACTACGATTCGATATCCCTACTATATGAGAATTCGATATTAATACTATTCGATCGATATCCTTACTATATGAGAATTTGATTCAATATTGATACTATTCAATTCGATATCCCTACTATATGAGAATTCAATATTGATACTATTCGATCGATATCCTTACTATATGAGAATTTGACATTAATGTGGCCATACTCAGTATGGCGGAGATCTGATCATGTGATCTCGCTCAGTAGATAGCTCCTTCCACTATATAATAGTAAACATAGATTTATATATATAATAAATTAATGAAAAAATCTTTATATTCTAAACCTCTCTCTCTGCTTATTCTATAGGTTATAAGCCTGGAGCCTCTTAGAGAGCTCTGGGGAATTATTCCTAAGTTCTTTCCTTAAGCTATTTTACTACTTTTTACTTTTAAAAGCCTCTTTTAGTAAATATTCTACCTAAAATATTTATCTAGGCTAGATATTCTGCCTAAGATAGAAACTGTCCTTTTATTACCTTAATTAATAGGGCCCTGCAAGGGTTCTTATATTTAAGAATCCTTATAGGTGTAGAAGCCTAGTAGTTACCCTTAGATATATCTAAAACCTTATTCCTTTAAGGGATATATCTAAAACCTTATTCTTTTATTTAAAATCTTTCTTTAAGATACCTTAAGTAGATCTTAATAAGCTACTATTACTTATAGATATAGATTCCTACTAAATATAGTCTAAAGCTATAAAGACTTACCTACATAGCTAGGGGGTTTAGTAGACTATTAATAGAACTTATAAGAAGCTAGAGCTATAAGAAGTAGGCTATTAGATTAGATTATCTAATAATACTAAGCTTTTTAAGTAGTAAGAGAGAATTAAAAAGGTAATTTAAGATTAGAAAGAGATAGATAATAAGGCTTATAGTACTATCTATTTTACTCTTTCTTATATTATTAGATATAAAGTGATTAATTTAGAATCATCTAAAGCTATTTAGGATTATCTTAATACTAAATATAATATAATAGCTAATATCTAGTCTTTTAAGGGGCTGTAAATAGCCATAAATATAGTATATAATAGCTATAATAGAGTCTAAGATTATATATTAAAATTATTATAAGTATTTAATAAATTTAATTATAGTCTTAAGGAAGGTAAGTAGCTTCCTAAATCTACTAAGATCTAATTCTTACTCTATAATCTTAGTAAGATATAGGAGATATTCCTTATATCTTATCTTAATAGTTACTATAATAAGAAAACTACTATATTTAATAGTATTATATAGATTCTGATCTAAGAGGAGATATATATAAAGTTTAATATATTATCTATAAATATTATAAAAGTATAGAAAGGGAAGAAGCTGGCTTAGAAGAATAGTAATTCTAAGGATAAATTAAATTAATTAAATTAGTTAAATT